GCAAACGGAGGGCGCCCTTACTCCCAGCAAATGGGCGATAGAAAACCGATCGGTGCCTACGCAGACTAATTTCAGCACGAGTAACTGTGACTCTGTGATTTAAATAATAATATCTCTGGCTTTAAAACTCCATATTTATCAAGTGTTGCTCTACACCTAAGTGTGCACGACTTCTACTTAATTAGCCTTCACTGTGCACACATTAAACACCAAACCCAGCTCTGTTATTTTCCTGAAGCTCCAAATTTGTTACTGTGCTGAAAGAGCAGAAAACAGCTCCGGGTCACCTCACAGGCATGTTCTGTCCTTTGCTAATGGTACACATTTGAGCCTTTCTGCAGCTTTATCACCAAACGTCACTGTGCACGACAAACTTTTCAGCTACCATATCTGTGTTAAGCCAGCTGATGCGGCTCCACCACACACAGGGTCAGCAGATTTCTTGTTGCTTCTCTGTGTCCAGCCGTGATTTTATTTAGCCGTTCTCTTCCTTTGGATTATAAAACGAGCAGATGAGGATCTGCTGCAAACTGGATCACAGGTTAAGAAGAGGAGGACAGCTTTAAATGATAATCTCACTTTACTTCAAGGGCAGGAAGGAGATGTTGCAGCAGCTATTCAAGGCTTTGCTCAGTCATGCGTCTAAAAATGTGTCGCTGACACTTTGCATGTGTGAATTTGGTGTCAGCCTGAAAGCAGCCTCAAAGATGTCTCTTGCAGTATGCGGTCACATTTACCTCCGTAGAGTCTAATAATTCAAAGTAATGAAATATTTAGCAGAAGAGTCCAACACGGTTTTGCTGCTGGTATAATACTGACCTGATTAATATTAACAGGCTTACATGCAGAGATGAGCACAGGAGAAGAGCTGGGATTGATGAGGCTTGGCAATAATTTTATGAAATATTAGAAATTTAAAAAATTCGGTTCCCCCTCTGTGGAAAATTCCCGTAAAACATCAAACAGGCAGATGTTAGTAATGTAGTCTAGATAGGTACTTCTACAGTAATATACAGCAGCACAGGCTGAATCATAGACTGTTACTTGTTCCCCATCCAGGGGCTGCCCTGCATAGGAGGAAGTGAAAGTTGTGCAACCAAAAGTGAGAAAATAGTCGGTTTTATGTGATGAATTGATAGAGTGATGAACTTTATTGATAATCTTTTGAAAAAGAACTACTACTATTACTACTAGCAAAGGGCTGTGGGTTAAACAGTGAAAACATGCTGTGTTGAGGGAGATTTCATCAAAGCTGGGAGAACATTGTGTGCTGATTGTATGTGATAGCTGGTGGTGTTGAAATGGAAGTGTGCTCGGGTGGGGCATCCTTTTATGAGGATGGGTGTAGTTGTATAGCCCGAGATCACACCGAGCAATTATTTTAGTTCACCCAGAAAATTAGTTTCAAGTTCAGCACCCAGTATTTTGCACAGCTTTATTTACCTTAAAATAGCTTTTTACTCTTCCACAGAGAGGCAAGGTTGTAGGTTTGTTGGTTCGGGCCTTTCTGTGCTGAAGTGGAAAATCCTCTCTGTGCCTCAGTGTTTTTACTCATATTTCACTGAATCTATACATCCTGTTCTGTTTGTCTCAGTGACCATCAAAATTAAAGTTATTTTTTTCCCATACACTCAGTGTCCACTTCATTCTGCTTTCAACATTCCTCTGAGATTCTGGTCCATATGGACATGACTGTGTCATGCAGATGCTGGAGATTTGCCAAAGATGCTCTGTTGGAGATCTGTGACGGTGGAGGTCGTGTGAGTACAGTGAAATGGTCAGGAAACCAGTTTGAGATGTGTGCCACGTCATTGCCAGCAGCCTGAACTGCTGATACGAGGCGGGATGGATCCGTACTGTCAAGATGTTTATGACCCTACCATCTGAAGTAGGACTCATCAGGTCAGACAATGTTTTCTCAGTTTTCTGCTGTTCACTTTTAGTGAGTCTGTGTGAATTGTAGCCTTCCTGTTCTCAGCTGACTGGGTGGTACGCGGTGTGCTCTTCTGCTGCTGTAGCCCATCTGATTCAAGGTTCAACCCCAGAGATGGTTTTTATGGGAACATCTGAGAAGATCAGCAGTTTCTGAAATACTCTGAGCAGCCTTGTTCAAAATACTTAAATCACCTTCTTTTTCCATTCTGATGCTTGGTTTGGACTTCAGTAGGTTGTTTTGACCTCGTTTGCATGCTTAAATGCACCAAGTGATTGGCTGAATACATATTTATGTTAAAAGTTGAACCTAATAAAACGTCCACGGTTCTTCACACCTGTGCTACATTCAGCACATTCAGTCATCAGCTTTTGGTTCTTAAGGAGCGGTTTGTGCTCCGACTGTGAGGTAAAGATGTGCAGTAGTGTTAGACACAGACAGAGGAAGTGACAGAGAACAAAATACTCATGTGGTGATTCAGCTTCAACATTCAGCTTTTACAGGAGTAACCAATAACCACATGTTTTTATATGGAGTACTGTAAGTCACTTCATGGTTAATTAGTCAAGGGAAAAACACAATATTCATATAGGAATTCCAGGAAATGAGAAAGCAGATAAACTCGCAAACAAATCCGTCAGTAAAGGAAACATAGATAGATTTTAACTGGTTTGTTTATCATGAAGTAATGAAGCAATAGCAAGAGCCTTGGAATGATGAACCAAAAGGTACAAGTTTACATGTAGGAGGCAAAGTGAAGCAGGAGATGAGATGGGGATAGGCATGTCAAGGTTATGGCTGGGAGGTGTCAGAGTGTAGGGGGGACTCAGCAGATGGGAGGAAATTATTATCTAGGTTTCTGAGAAT